TGGTCGTGTTGGATTAGATAAAATTATTGGTTTTAATTAGTGCTACAACTGCGATGATATAGAATAATATTTCTTATTATTATAGCAATTATGATCATATTTCTAATTTATTGGCCATGGTTCAAAATCACTTGAAATTATATTTAGATCTATAATTTCAGTTGAATTGTTATTAATAGCACTTCAATTTACAAGTTAAGATTATCTTGATAAATTACGATTAATGTTTTTTATCTTTTATATTACAAATTAAACTTTTAACCTCATATAATTTAATAAAAAATACTATACCGGATTATCACTAATGATCAAATTTGATTTACTCAGGATTTTAAATTGTTTTTAACTACTATTGTAAAAATGTTATATAGGTGTCATTTAATTAAATTACTATCATTGGTTATCACTTCTAGTTTCTAATAACGTTTAATATGAAATAATTTTATATCTCAGTATGGACAATTTTTGACTAGAAATAAAAGCTCTATTTAAAATGAAAACCAGAAATAAACTTTGTTTACAACAGCTTATAGATCACCTAATTCAGAAATGGAAAAAATTATAAATTATCACAAAAGAAATTATAATGAAATATAGAAGAATTAAAAAATAAATATGTTCTAGAAAATATATAAGAATTAGTTTGTGCGTAGTTTGACTCTATAAATTTTGGAGAAAGAACAATAAATAATAAGAATGATAAATTTGTATTAAAATTAAGTATCAACGGTCTATATTAACACTTCAAATAATATTTCATTTATAAATTTTCAAACATTATAAATGCATTACAAAGCCTACTTCAACAGTGTATTTTTCATAAAAGCTTTATAAAAGTTTTAAGTTCCTACTCACCATTTTCTGCGAATAAATAGCCTTTAAAAATTTAAACTCTAATTAATTCATATTACCCACATAACTTAATTATTAGATTCATTGATATTAAACGAAAGCACAAATATTACTAATAAGCCGGTTAATATAAATTATAGGAATGCCATTACTTGCAATTCCTATCTTGCTTATCTGCTAAAGTTAAGCTGATAAGGCTTTTTATCAATCAATATTACGAATTTGTGTATTTTGGCATAAATTGAAGATTTTACCTTTTAAAACAAATGTTATCAGTTTTCTGGGCGATAAAATATAATAGATAGTACATAGGTGCATGCGATATTACATTCATGCCATGGTAATTGAATCTGAAAAAATAGTTAATTAAATCAAATCGTAGTTAATTTAATAAAATTATTAATATAAAGGCCAGATTGAAAATTTTATAATTTATGCTATTTAATGATGTAAGGGATTTTTTTATATTTTACCACTATTGTCCTTGATTTGGCTACAATTTTACATATCAATAATATACTTCATAATTCATTCATAGATCATTAACCTTTATTTTGGGATGTGACCTGCAGGTCTAATTGACCCACTTCATCGTTGAAATAGGTATTGATATTGCTATGTACATCATGACAAAATAAGTTTTTAAAATAATGGTTATAGCTTTTAAATGAATGCGTCCTTCAAAAAATATCTAAAAGAATATTATAATAAAAAAATTGGCGACAAACGGAAATGTTATTGATATCTACTTTATATATAATTAATGATAATTCAGCTCTATCTGAAACAAATTGTTAATGGTTTTGAAAAGTAAATAAAAAGCCTTTATTGATAACTATGCTATCACTAATATTATTAATTTGAAGATAAATTTATTTATGCACATGTGAAATCATCAAAATTTTTCGATCAAATAATTCTTCTTTTAAGTATTAGAGAATTAAAAAATAAAATATTACAAATTAATTAACAAATTTTTTAAGATACTTGCTTTTTGCAGTATCTATGAATATACAAGTTATGATTTCTCAAACACCCTCAATCCCAAGTTCAATTCTTAATGTAAGAAAGGTAAAGTTTAATTTGTTAAATAAATTTATTAACAGAATATATTTTAAAAAATACTTTAAAATATAGCCAGTGTTTTGAATTCCATTTAAATGGAAAGCTCGTGAATTGAATTATAACAAAACCTCATACATTATTGGAAACGCCATCGAGAAAAATTAAATGAAGTATGTGGTAGAAATTACATTAATCTCACCCGCCAAATGGGGGGCGCGCAAAAAGCATTCCGCGAAACCATCGCCGCGTGTAATTGGAAATAATTGCGATTCGGGTCAAACAAACCGATCAATCATTTTTACAATTTGCCCATTTTTCGTCATTTGCTATTCATTTTGTTTTCGATAAACTAAAT